GCGTAAGCTGTAACGAGAAAGGACAAATTAGTTGTATGTTTTTTTCGACTTAGGGCGCAGTAAGTATAACTAATCCATTAAGAATTAGAATTAAATAAAAATTCCAAAAATGTGTGGTCGCAACTCTACTCTGTTCTTTCGAGCTACACTCACCCCCGAAGATGGAGTTGGAGAAACTAATCCAAATCAGAAGAGTTTTACTGAAGAGTACTTTATTTCAGTCTATTATCCGGATGCTTATTAAAGAAATTTCCAAGCTTCGATTCTACAACATTCAACTCCTCCTTACCACGTGCAACTCCTCCTTACCACGTGCAACTCCTCCTTACCACGTGCAACTCCTTACAGTTTAATATTAGAGTATAATTTAGGAGTTGAAATTATTATACAAAAGGATAATTTCCTATTAGCACTATCGTATATGCTGCACATCTCAAATTTTCTATAAATGATCATTTTCCTGCGGGATGGCAACGCTGACAATGACCACTTCCGAGTGATCCACGCCCTTGCACCGAGTGTAAACAGCGACATCCGGGCGATAGCGACCCTCTTTTCGTCGCCTTGGTGCTTGGGCCATCGGATTGATTTTTTTAGCTGACATCACAGCATCAGTTCCCGAACAGGAGAACATGATGCGTCAAGTGACAATTCATTTGTCTCGATTGTTGGACGGGAAGAAGTCTAACAGTGAGGGACGGACAGATCAGGATACTCCAATACTTGACAAGGATAAGGATCTTTCAACTTTTAAAAGAAGTGCAGGCATTTAATTGCGAACCGTATTGTCTTTTGTTTATGTATGCTTAATTCTTAATGTTAATTGTAATTGTTTTTAAAATTATTATTACGACTTTAATAATGTATTTTTCTCGTAGTTAATGTAATCACCCTTGTAACTGTCAAAGCACAGATCAATTTACATTTTATTGAATGCACTGAATTCTAAGTGTCTAATTCCTGCACGATGATTGTTCCTGTCAGGACTACTTCCTGCACGAGTGTGTACACTTCCACTTCCCTTTGCGCAAGGTCCCGCTTCAAATATACAGCATTAACTTGTGGCGCTTGAAGTAATTATTGGAATAATGCTCATGTTTTCAATACGCTTCTTAAAGGGCTCAATGAGCTCTTGAGTGCTCATTCATTTTTTCTGAGTATTTACTTCGTAGGTTACCAGTTTTGGTGATTGAAATATCTATAAACGCGACATACATCTTGCTCTTGTTAATGACTACCAGATCCACTCAATTATGCGTTTGTCCTCTGTCAAAATTCTTCTGATGCATTAGAAACGCCTTTCTTCGTTCTCCTCCCGTTCATCACTAGACAAATGCATACATCCCAAAATAATATGTTGTATTGGATGTCCTGTGAGTAACCATATCGTTAGTATTTATTTTGCACGACTCCACCTTTAACAATCAGCGTCAAATCCGTGGTGGGATAACTTGATCCTGAATGGCCAACATAAATCCTTCAGTTTTCGAAAAGATCTACGGTGATGTGAGCTAAAGATTCGAAGCGTTATTCGCTTGTTTTCGACATGAGCTCGACTCATGTCATCTGCGTGTGTTTCACGGAGTGATTTTGACATCCATATATCCATCTTCTGACGTACACTGCAATATGTCATGAGAGCGCTAAGTGTGTAATAACTTTATGCCGATCTGAATGAATTTGCTACTGAATAGAAAACATTTTTATGATTTTACTTGCCGAGAAATTTGCTTGCTAAAGTGTACTAATCCTCTCCCACTCGCCTTTCTCGATATTGTAATTCGTTCAGCCAGTCTTCGGATGGTGAATGCTTGCCTTTAACATAAATATTCTCACTTTTCGTTGTAAATTTTCAATATTGGTTTTGCGAATAATGTCAAATGAGTTCAGTACAGAATAGCATGTGTGTTAATAACGTGATATATTTCTATTTCTATTCAGTGTTGTTTTAAGCACTTTTCGAATCCCGTCCTTCAGAAAGTTCTTCCTGCATTATACTTTCGTCAGTGTGCTGTGTTCGTCAAATTCACAGAAACCTGTTAGTGTCCTTGCTGAACGTTGCTTGTATAGCAATTCTGTTTCGAAGTTCAAAGGCCCCTTTCTGTAATCTTTCTTACACAATATTCTATGTCCTTTATTATTTACAGACCAAACTTCCGATATCTCTCGAAAATGGTTCCACAATAGTCAGTAGATGTTCAAGTTAAGATTTCATTGACACAAGTATCAATAAATCATCCTTATACAGCAGATGATTATTAAAAGCATTTTGTGTAATTCAATAATAATCGATAAAGATTCCATAAAAATGTCAAACCAGAGCGGGCTGAATTAGTCTCTCTGAAGAATGCCGTACTTCGCTTATCTGGCATGCCTGAGCTTTCTTTTTGACACACAGCTATAGAAACAGACAATTTGTATTAGACAGTTACAGCTTCAATTTTTCCCTGTCGAAATCTAACAGAAATCACAGAAAGCTGGCACGCTGTTCATGAGCCACGCGAGGGTCATCCAAATATCAGTGTTTACTTAATATTTTACTGGCTAGATCCGTGCGAACATTTCGCTCTTTGTAAGTCATTGTTTTAAAAGTGAATGTAGCTTCCTACTTGATCGTTCGAACGACCAGCCCCCAGAATTGTGCATTACACTATTTTACGCCCAGTATTGTGCGTGGTACCCTTTCTAATATTGCCAAGTGTTGAGATTAAATTGCACAGAAAATTAACGTCCGTTTAATTTTATCGTGGAGTATTATTTGTCTGTTCTTTGAATTTAATTTTACTTTGATTTCCAGTTACTGTTCGCATTTTACTACCGATATTACGGAGTAGGAATCTCCAGAAGAGCTTAACTACTAAAATTGTAGTGGAAAGTTACGAAAGATCTCAATTTGTAGAGAAGAAATGTTTTGAATGTTGTTTCAGAAACAACTCGTGCCCCACTTGTCCTCCGCTGGTCACCCACCTGTGTCTCCAGTACCTCATCCCTGTCCCTCACAAGTCCCCCGCCTGTCGTCACCCAGATCTAGAGACAAATTTTGAGAAGGGAAATTCAAAATATTTTAGTCGAATGTGTCATATTACACTTGTAAGGGGCCGTCCATAAATCACGTCACGCAAATTTCGAGTATTTTCAATTACCCCTCTCCCCTTTGTCACACACCCGTAACGCACGCTTGAACCATTATAGCACGGTAAAAACAAATTGTATTTATTTTACTTGTGTTGTATATTAAGGTAATTAATGATAATTGAAGTAGAAATTAGTTGGTGATGCTGGCTGCACGTAAGATTGGGACAAGTTGTGGGTGAAGGAAGAATGTTTGGACGATAAATTTATATTTATGTAGTAAAAAAACCAATAAACTGTATGTGACGTATGAGGGAGAAGATTATGAAAATGGTTTATCACAATGCTCACCCGTCGTGGATGATACAAGAGCGAAAGACTACAGCATCAATTTAAATGTATTCTAGAATATAATTCATAACAGTTTTGAATATTTTCTTCGTAATCTTGCAAATATTGAAAAAATGTTACGTAACACGTAATACCTCTTCTCTATGTAACGCAACGTCACGCTACCTCAGATCCCTTCCCCCTCATTAGTTTCACGTAATTTTTGAACGACCCCTAATATGATTTTGTAAAATGTCGCAGACTACACTCAGCTCATGCTGCGATACGATTTTATTCGTTTTAATGATTATCCGAAAAAAATATTGCCTGAAAGTTTCGTGACAATTTAAAATTAATAGTTACTGAAAAATTTTATGAGGGGATTTCCCTCATTTTCCTCCCCGTGGATCCGCACCTGCGTCGAAGGAAGGAATACCTCATAACTCGGCGTGCAGATCGGCGAGGCATTTCGCCGTTCAGATGGGGAGGAAACTTACCTCGTTTCATAAGTCACTACATAAACCAGTATAATGACCATAACCGTTGGCATGCCCGGAAACAACCAAAACATTTACTTATGCAATAGCTATGGAATAAAATCTAATAATATAATATACTATCATCCACAATTTGTATTGTCTTTTATTTATGTGATTGGTTTTATATATCTTCTTTAAGATAGTGCTAACGTCTCATTTTTGTTTACGAAGTTTGATGGTTGTAACGCAAATAGGCCAGGAAAAATGTGTAGCGCAACATATGAGTGCGCTAATCAAACGTCGTTGCATCGTTGATAAAATTATTATTTTGCGTTATTATATTAGTTTGTGTTATTACGAGTATTAAACATTGCTAGAAAGCAACTGTTCCACTTCGGCCCTAATTACGTACTAGTGATGTTACAAGAGCTCATACTTTTCATATTTATCTAAAATACAGGAAACGGCGAAAACGAGACCCGAGCTTTCTTTTTAAAAACTCCATTACACAATCTGAGGGAAAAATGTAAAGAAAAATATTGAAGATGGTTTTTAATTATTTTTTTAATTTAAAAAAAATAATTTTAAATGTTGAAATGTATGAATTATGTTTATTGTAAAATAATATTTTTCTTTTGGCCTGTTCTTATAAATCCTGTAATTTTCCATTATGTCTCGTGGTGCATTGCAATATGAAGAATATTTTAGTAAGTTTTTCCTTTTTGAATTCATTTTAAATTTGTTTTGCTTGACTCTACCAGCAATGCAAAACTGATCTTTGCTTGGGAGTGCAGCATGATCTTTCCATGGGATGCATTTTTGAATAAAGTTGCTTATAATATTGTAATTATTAGTGTGCACATTTGTCATGGGTGCAGACAACTTTATTTTGCCTTCTTCCGTAACAACAATACTGTTTATATTTTGTAATATTTTACACTTCCCTTCTGTAAACTTTAGCTTTCTCCTTTCTTGCATTCCTTTCTCCAAGTAATACTACAAGGGTCATACATGAAGATTAGAGATAACTGTATCTGCTGATATCACTTGAATTACTGCCAGCCCAATTACTCAACATTTTATTTACTATATGCAAATATGTTATGTTTGCATTCACAGGCTATGATCCATCAGAATTTCAAAGGAAGGATTTCAGGAAGAAACGTAAAGACGAAAAAATTAATTCAGAGCGGTCTCTCCTGGTTAAACAGCTTGAAAACTACCCATCTGTGTTCAGAAATCCGTTTTTAGACTATGCTAAGTTTGATGGAGATGTAAGTCTTGCATATTGCAAAACAGATTTTATTATAATTAATTTGTTTCAGAAACCTGCCAGAATAACTAATACGTTTTAAGACAGTAGTTACTATTACCCAACTTTGTTATTATTTAACATATTTGTGTAACATTATAATTAATATGTTTTTCAGAAACTTGCAAGAATAATACAATTCAAGACTGTAGTTAATATTACCCTACTTTGTTTTGCAGTAGGTGTGTTTGTTTTATTTTTCCTGAGTGAAATTTTGCTTTTTATCCTGAATTAATGTTAAGAGTTAGTGAAAGAAGTCATTAAAGTTGTCGGTTTCATTCAGGCTTATAAATTGATTGTTTATTTCCCATTGTTACTCTAGTATTATGAATAATGCATTTTTTCTCACATGGTAAGTTACTTATTGTGACAAAAGTTCCCCAGCTTTTGTTCCGTTTGTATGTCATTGTTTATTATTATACATGAATATTCTGCAACTTGGTAATACAATTGGTACCTTGTTTGTGTATATTTGTCATTGTGTATTCATTATAAATTTGTCACTGTTCATGAAGGAGAAGGTTACTCAAAACGCAACAGTTGTGCCATGATTCCTTCATGTTTATGATGTGAGATATGATTTATCAATAGTTCAAAAATTTTGATCCTTTTTAAAGCAAGTCATCATGAAATTAAAATTATAAATTATTTGGGTTATTACTTCAAACATGCTTGTTTACACTCGGTCTTTAGCACATTAATGAATTTTGGTTTCTGATCTATTATTTCCAGTAATTTTGGCCTGTCAACTTCAGGAAACTGTACTGCAAAATATAAATAGTAATTTAAGAACGTCAAGATTTTGATCATATTTGAATTTATGTATATAATATATATTCTATGTATTCTCTCTCTCTCTCTCTCTCTCTCTCTCTCTCTCTCTCTCTCTCTCTCTCTCTCTCTCTCTATATATATATATATATATATATATATATTTATTTATTATATATATTATATATTAGACGGAAGCCATAAACGGAAAATTTCTCCGGCCCTTGAAGTTAAATCGTATTTTATACGGCATAAAACCCGACCAGTTAAACACGGAGACGCAAGTGTTTTTCATTACTGTAAGAGAAAAAATAATAAATCTTAATTCTTCTGAATACAATGCATATGGCAGTGTGGCTGGAGTGAAACCTACTCTTAATGGATGTTCCTGCAGGTGAGTTTTATCTTCCGTCCCTGTGATAAGCGATTTCGTCCTGACAACGGTCGGCTTTGGATGCGAAGCTCGGAAAGTAGTCTTTCATGTTACCGTCGAGTGACACGGTCAACACCCTAAAAGGCCGGAAAGTGAAAATAACTTTGCGTTGCCCCTATCTAGCCAGTAGTGGTGCGACATTACAACAAAACATCGATATTGCTAAACATCGATTCTTTAAGTTAAAACATCTATGTTAATAAACGACCAAAATCCATCGAGGTTTTTAAACATCAGCGATACAGGAGCTAAGGGAATAACACATGATCATAACATATTATCGCAATCTAATGAGATTCAAGGTCTAGAACAATTTATAGTAAGTTTGTATATGGTAACTGATTGAGTGTAGTTTACAAGACAATAGCAAATATAATCATAACTTACGAACATTCATGAGAAGACATACATTAAGGGATAATGTATGATATTTTGTTACCAATAAATTGCAGTTAGAATAAACTGAAGCAAATTTTCAGTAATATATTATAGGTATTCAGTGAATGGACAATTGAATAAAATAAGTAATCTTAATAAAATTTGATCTTAATAAAGTAAGTAATTTTAGATGGATATTGTAACACCTGAAAGGAAAAATGATTTAAAATTTTGGGAATTAATATTTTTAAAATACTGTACACACATTTTCTACTCACTGCTTTCTTTTTCCTATTTCTGATTCCACTGTGTATGCCAGTTTCTCTCTTAAGTCCAAATACTCGCAAAGCACTCAAAGCAGTTCCATGCACTCGAGTATTGTTCAGTCTTTTTTGCAGGTTTGCTGCCACAAATTGCACTGACAACTCATTAAAAAATAAACGTCTTTTGAACGTTTTGTCCTTTTGAAAATATTTTTTGATACTTGTAAATAGTATGCACGCATTTCGCGCTGCAACATCAATTACGTTGTAAATCAATATCGTAGGCCATCGCCGAGGTAGTCTTCTACCATCTGATCCATCTTAGCAACGCCAATTTTGGTCTTAATAAGAGGTTATTTGTTGTTTTTCTTTTTGTCTGTGCCTCCTTTTTGATTTTGGTGAAGTGAACTCAACAAAGTGGACGATTTTTGTTCCATTTAGCTTTGTATGAAACCTCAGGCTTCCATTGTGGCCAAACAATGAACTGTGAACTTCTCACAATTTTGTTGAATCTCCAATTTCAACGGGAATTTCTGGTTTATTTGCTCTCATAGTTCTAACCAACGACATATTTTTTGGAGAAGGTACTGTGCTAGAAGAATACTCGTAAGGTTGTATACTCTTCTCACCAAATTTTTGACAGGTTTTCACCGTATTGATAGCTAGATAGTCGGCTACTGGTTGATTTGCCAATTTTTCTGAGTAAATGCTGTTCAGAACGTAAGCATACAGTCGCATAACCAAAATATCTTTATCCCGTATTCAGCGGGTTTATTGGGCATATAAATCACAAAAATTCAACGTCCACGGAAGCTAACGAGTTGCTCGTCAACTCACACACTCGCGAGGGTTCTGGAACGATGGAGCATTTTTTGTGAACACCGACCAAATGTAACTAAATAGTAGTGCACATTTGTTTCCAATCTTCGTTCCCGATTTCTACGATCATCAAAGTGCATAAATCTTATATCCTCAATTCTGTCACATTCAAACATTCTCGAAAAATTGAATCGCTTTTAGAATTTAGGAATAATTCTCTACCAGGAACGTCCCACGATTTGTTTACTCCAGGACAGAACGAGTTCAACGCCTTTCTTGCCGTCATTTTAAGTTACGTTTACCCAAGTTTTTATTCTTGGCAGCAGTTGTGCGCGGTGCTTCACGGTTTGTGCATCGCACTATTTCCGCTTTCATTTCTTTAGAAATCAGCAATTTGCAAGATTATTGTTCTGTGATTATCGTAATGTTTTTTTACAGGACCAGCAGGAACGCGGATGAGATTTTGTAAATGACATCTACTAATGGGTGACGCGCTTCTGTGCCATTGAATCCATTTTTGGATATCATGAACTCCAAATTTGAAGATGAAGGTCGCGATTCCTCGTTGAAATCAGAGCCAGGTCTGTTGGAATCATTCAGATGAACATGCATCACTTACTCATCTTAACTGCCGGATCTTGAAGATGGCAAAGGCTCTCATTTGATATGATCGTTATTTGAACTAAATTCACTAACATCACTCTTTCTAATTCATTTTGACTTTCTCGACTTCTTGTGAAATCATCGCTTCAAAACAAACGCCACGAGCGAAGTAAGCCAAAAATGCACAATCATCATTTTAGATTGCAAACCACTCTAGACAGAACTGAAACAGTATATTATCTGATCGTATATATCGTGATATATTATATCGTATTAGTTGTCGGCACATCCGCGTCCCAAATTTCCAACAATCGGCTCTCATTGCAGTCCAATGAACGGCAAGTGTAGGGATCGCATCACATCGCGACCGCCGCTCTTCCGAGGCCCCACTTCTGTGATGAAAGCGTATTTAAGAAAAGTGAGCCATAATTCGGTTTCGAATAAATCGTATTTACCGGAAACACATCATTTACTTTACACCAGAAAAATACAGAAAGGGATAACGATAGATGGTACCGCATCATCGAAATGTTACAATTCTATTTGAATCCTCAAAATGCTTCATTTATCAAATGTATGCCCCCTTTAGTCACCACATGCTAAACTTCTTACTAATGCTGTTATTGTAACTATTGCCTATGTTAAAACACAGTTCTCTGGTATTCATGAAGACGTGTGCTGATATTCTGAGACTATACCCAAAACGCTTTTTATGAATTGTGATAACTCGTTAATTTTGATATCTAATGATTAGAATACAACCTAACACACAGCTTCAGATTTTAATAAGAACGTAGTGATTATCTGTAGTGTGATACCAGCCACAATGCTTACACAAGCAGAGAGTTAAAAAACAGCAGTTAGATCTGTAATGATAATTACCTATGATATTGATATTGGTCAAGAGCCCAACGAATGGTACACCTGTCTAATATCTTGTAGGGCCCCCGCGAGCTCTCAGAAGTACTTCAACACGACGTGGCATGGACTCGACTAATGTCTGAAGTAGTGCTGGAGGTAATCGACACTATGAATCCTGCAGGGCTGTCCATAAACTCGTTAGAGTACGAGGGGGTGGCGATCTCTTCTGACAACGCGTTGCAAGGCATCCCGAATATGCTTAATAATGTTCGTGTCTGAGGATTTTGGGGCCAGTGTGAAGATTTTAACTTGAGCACTTTAGAGTGTTCCTGGAGCCACTCTTTACCAATTCTGGACGGTAGGCTGTCGCATTGTCCTTCTGGAATTGCCAAAGTCAGTCGGGATGCTCAATGGACACGAATGGGTGCTGGTGATGACACAGGATGCTTACGTACGTATCACCTGTCAAGAGTCGTTACTTCTCGTATCAGGGGTCACAGAGCCTCCACCAGCTTGAACAGTATCCTGTTGACATGTAGGGTCCCTGGATTCATGAGATGGTCGCCATACTCATACACGTCCATCCGCTCGAAACAATGTGAAACGAGACTCATTAGACAGGCCACGTTTCCAGTCATCAACAGCCCAATATCGGTGTTGGCGGGTCAAGACGAGGCGTAAAGCTTTGTCGTGCAGTCATCAAGGGTACACGAGTGGACCTTCGGATCCGAAACTCCCTTTCGATAATGTCTCGTTTAATGGTTCGCACGCCGACACTTGATGGTTTAGCATTGAAATCTACAGCAATTTGCAGAAGTGTTGCACTTCTGTCACGTGTAATGAATATCCTCAGTTGTCGCCGGTCCCGTTCTTGCACGATCTTTTTGCGGCGATGCCGGAGGTTTGATTTCTTACCAGATTCCCGATATTCACGGTACATTCGTGAAGTGGTTTTACGGGAAATTACAAATTTCATCGCGACCTCGGAGATGATATGCCCTCTCTCTTGCGCCGTCTGCAACACCACTTTCAAACTCGCTTAAATCGTGATAACCTGCCATTGTAGCAGCTGTAACAACTATGCCAGACTCTGGTTGTCGTTAATAGTCGTTGCCGACTGGAGCGCCGTATTCTGATTGGTTCCAGATACGCATGGCAGTACTATTTTTTTTTTACTCTATACATACACACATGCATAATGCACACGTGCACACATGCAGACCTTCGGCGTATTGGAAGGCTTGGGGCAGAAATAAAAGGCACAACTCAGAAACCCGAAAGGCAAACTCGGAAAGAAAAATTAAGCGAGGAATAAAAATTGTGTAAAAGCAGCGCTTTTTATTATTATTATTATTATTATTATTATTATTATTTTCGTTCTGAACAATATATTATTTTAATTTGTAAATAATAAATACTTTACATGTTTCTGGAGTATTTCTATGCTTTTATGATGCAGGTTTTTGCCTAGAAATATTTTTTCGAACCAACTTTTGAGTGTTTTTTGCGGCTCATCCATTCGAAATATGAACGTAGTTTATTAGACACAATATGCTTAAAATTGGCATACGAACTTTTATTTTATGTACTTCTAAATATATTTTTTATTGTCTTTGATAGTGAATTTGTTACATTTACGTCTCATGCATTATTACAGTATTTCGATTGTGAATGAACATAGATTGGATTTATTTTAATTTTATTTTTGATCATGTTATTCTTTCATTCAGCTCTCATAACTATGAAATTATGAGAGAAAAATCAGTAACTCATTTCTTTGTACTCTCATGGTTTTGTTCCAGGATGTATGGTACTTGGTTGAAATGTTTGAATCTTCGGTCTACAGAAATAATGTTAGCGATTGTTGCGTGTTAATTTCGATTATTTATTTTTGAGTATACTAGTCAAAGTGTGCTCGAGTTAATATCCTCCCGTATGGGTTTTATGCATGTTGTTTCCCTAATCTTATTGTTGCTTACCAAACCTACCAAATGATGTGGTGAGAGTGAAAGGTGCAATGACACAACTGTGCACTAACAATGAGTGTGTAGGATGCGGATAAAAGTTAAAAGTTACAGTAATGATCAGTTTAGTAATAGTATTGTAATGTGTTACATGTAATATATACTGAATTGCAGTGTTGCTGTATTTGCTTGTAGTTATAGAAGTAGTGATATGATATTGTAGTAGCTTGTTTTTGTAGCAAAAGTATGTGCTGGTGATCTTTCTAGATTAGAACATAATGATATTGTTGTTCCAGGCTCAAGTGGGTGTACCGACTCGAAGATATGGAATTTTTATGATGATGCTTCCTCCTGCCGAAAGAAATTATCCATTAAATGTTGTGGTCATTGCTTCTGCAAGAGTACAGGACTTAATAGGTTTAATATGTTGGAAACATACGATGGAACATGGAGATCATAATTTAGGGTGCGTGTTTTTACCTAATAATTTATCAAATTTCATAAAATACGGTTTGGATGAAAAACAATTTGATTTCATTATCGTACACAACATTGCTTACGTTGAAGTATTTCTTGGACTGTGTACTGTAAATATTATTGTTCATAGGTAGAATGAATTATCCATATGGTTGTGTATGGTGAGATTAACTCTTGAAGCTTGTTTATAACATGAGATGATCGTCAAATTAGAGCTATGCTTGCTGACTACAAGTTTCTAGATTCCTAGAAGAAATGTGCACATACCTACTGAATGAACCATGTTGCGTAAAAATTAACAAAGTTGCTTTCGTGATCTGCATGTTAAGCCTGTGGAATTTTCTTAGTGCTCAGTGTAAGCTATCACGACATGAAGAAAATAATTGAAATTACTAAACAATTGTTTGTATTGAACTTGTCGCTTCATTCAGGGATCAAAACGAACCACCTATTCGAATGCTTTAGTTCTTTCTTTTGGCGTCATTAAACATAACATTTTACTTTCAAAATTACCTCATGTGAAATCTGTGGCTTTGCCCTAGATTAATTATGTTCGAATCTTAACGTTTATTGAGAGTAGAAATACTTTACTGGAATGATGGAGCATTATATACACACTTTTCCGTTTCATTTTCAATTGTACGTGGAGCACCGTAGTGATTGATTTTAGGGCCTATTGTCTCCCTGCCAACAAATGTTCCATATTTATAAAGGAACAAAAGATCCAGAAAACCGGATTATCTGAGGTGTTTTTTTCCTGAAGGGTGACGGCGTGTCCTTACGATAAATACAGTGACTCTCCCCAGGAGTTTTGAAAGCACTCTGAGCCAGTCAAAATCGACTTCGAGTTGTCAAACTTATCCCTAGAAAACACCACCCTCTGTTTGCGATGCTGCAACTCGGATCTCTCTGGAAGATTAGACTGCAGGCGTCAAATGCTTTGTTTCACGAGCAAGAAGGCAACTAGGAGTAACTTAACGGTGTGTGTCTGGAAAACCCGTTCCAAAAAGACATCTCTATAGATCTTGGTTACCAAGGCAAATAATCGGAAAGGTATCCCAACAGAGACGACTTTGCTGTGGACAAGGAGAGTAGTGGACAGTCATTCCTCCACGTTTTAACAGGCGAGAAAGAAGAAAAAGAAACCTAGCATTTAATCCCTCATCACGGCTTTCTCGTGGAATATAAACGATTTTCTCTTGTAATAAGAATAATTCAAGTTCATATCTTCCCATAACGCATTTAACTGAGTGCAGGAAACTTTTCTTCCCAACATCCTCGTTTTTTTGGTTTTCGTACTTCTCTGCTCGATCAAGATGTCGGGCTTCGCGGTCGTGTTGTCGCGGAATGTATTTGCGATTCTTCGTTCTCCAAGGAATACAGCGTTCGATCCTACCTCTCTAAACCGTTTGCGTACGACTGAAAATACCATCCCTTTCGTTAACGATATGCAAGTTGTATATTCCTCCTGCAAAAGCCGTGTTAAAAGGACTTCATGTAACTTTCCAGTTCCCCTGCTTTTTCTTATTGTTGCTGACGTTAAGCTCCACAACCCCGCCTGGAGCGCCACGCTCCTCTCCGAGTGATACTATCCTTGAAAATATTATTTACCAACGTTATCCAATTCTTCTGAATTCCGAAAATTACGCTCAATTTTCCGTGGATTTGAACGCTTTCTTGTCCATCGATCTGGTACTCGGTCGTGATTCTGTCTATCGTCTTGGAATGAACTCCAGTCCGTTTCAATATTAACAATTCAACCGTTGACCGCTGTCTAATCCATCGACCTTGGCGGGATACATTCGGGGAAAATATGAGTATCTGGTAAGTACTCCAACGACATTGATGCTGTGGCGTCTTATTTCGCCGATTCCGTTCATCATGCAGCAACCATTGCAATTCCGACGTCGGCGGGCCGGCCAATACATCCTCTTTTGTCCTGGTAGAATGCTGGCACTGCCACTGCGGTGTGTAATAGTAATCAAAAGCTATATTTTTTCCCCCTGATGCTATTGTTGCTAGTGTAATGCATATTAATTTAGACAAACTGAAAATTTTCTTAAATACACAATCAACATTTCTTCTTTCCAGTATGTTACAATTTATTTGGAAATGTAGCAATTTTATTAAAAACAATCCATTTATTGTAAAAATTCTATGATTTCAAAATATTCCGATTAACTCTGCTAAATATCAAACATACTCAGAAAAAAAATTCAAAAAAGTAGTTTAAATGTTTGGTCACGTTCAAAAACTTCCCTTCAAATTCAAGTGTACTTATTTATTTTGTTTCAATTGAATTAAGATATAAAGTTCTCCCTCAATACGTTACCACTAATAAAATCCTAATAACTACAGTATCGGCAGCGGATAAGAGACTAACAGTTCAATGCGCTTTTACCATGCATAACTATGCACTATCTACCACTTGCATCACAGATAAATTAAATCTCAAAACATTAACACTTACTGACAGGCTATAACACGTCTTGGTATCATGTGCGTAACTTTCGCCGAAACCGAACCTTATCGCCTCCTCGACTTCGTGTGAGTCAGATGTGCGGCAACGCTGAACCCTGGCTGTAAGAAAGTAAATAAATTCTCCTAAGTTGATTTCTTCAGTGCAGATCGTATGACGTATCTCAGCACTGGCGACAGAACTGTCCGAGCCGCTTATACGCAGCCGGTTCTGCGTATTTAACGTAATCCACGAGGGCACGTTTTAATGAAATGTCATTTTTTCACTTTAGAACCTTTTAGAATACACAGTTATGCAATGAAAAGAGAAAATGACTCATTTTATTTTTTGTGCATTTTCGTCGATTTTGACCGGCTTTTTTTATACCCTTTTCCGTCATTTTTAAAGCATTTTCACTGATTTAGTTGATTTTAATATCCTTTTAATTTCACTTGCTGCAAATATTATTTATGAGATGATCGTCACAGAATTCCAGAGTAGCGTATTCGTCGGTGGCGTATACTGTAGGCTACCGGTGCACAGTGTGTGATTTCAGGATGCTAGCCGCTCAAAATTATTTTCTCGCAAACTACTCATTTAATTTTGACGAAACTGTACACACTTGGTTACCTAAAGGTACTCGATCATCTCTGATGACGGTGAAGATCGCATGTATAGGGTTATAAGTTCGATTCCAGTTCATTCACAGAAAAAAATGGAAATCTCTTGTATCGGGACAGAGTTAAAAAAATCACTCACAAATGTTTGTACACGAAAACATGAATCAATGACTATTTACACATTATAAAGATACATGATTTGTACTCTATATTGATGTACTTCGCAACTCTTGAAAATTTTCGAAACAGTAAAAGTTTCGCTTCACCCGAAATTTCCTGTGATTTTGTTTTCGGCGATTTTCTGATGTTGCTGATGAAATGATCAGATGATACTAAGAGTCTGTGAAACAGATCAGTATTTGCATTCACTCTGGAAGATTTCCGTGAGAAACATTCTCTGAAACGTCTGTAGTCCTTGTTACGCGCTTCTTGCACTTCCTCTGAAAGTTGCCCGATTGGCAGAATATTGCTGTCAATTACATCTTCATGAACAAGTATTTATGCACAGATACTGGCATGTAGTACCAATTATAGTGTTTCAAGAGAAGTTATTTTGTGTCTTTAACATATGCCCCAAAATTTGACTTATTAATTTCATGACCACAAGCAAGAGTTTCCAGCATTATTTTAAATATGTGAATTAAATCTTCATGGATTCCAGTAATAGCAGCGCTTAGAGGTTTGTTTTTGAAAAATCTTCAGGCAGTATTGCCGTCATTACTATTACCATATCCTTTCTTCGGCCAGTCAATAATTAAATCCAACTCTTTCTGAAATCGCTGCTGGATGTACTTCTTTCTTGTTTCTACAGTTTTCTTGTCTTCATCACTCCCAATGGCCCAATTTTTTTACTTCCAAGCGGTAAGCAATGTGTAGAAGACATTAAAAAAATCGAATCATGGTATGTAAAGGTGATAAGCCAAATTCCAACATACTTGGATTGATCTGTTTATGCTTTGAGCAATCCATAACATTCTCTTCTTTAGGTGTTGCACTGCATATGTAACACTTCTGTGATGAAGTATACTACGATAAACTACTACAGACCTTGCAATGGTGCACAGACGTTTGTGAGTAACTACAATGTTTTTAGTTTCTGTCACGAAAAATGTTGAAGGCACTAGCTCTTCTATTTGAGGGTACTCGCTTCCCATTTCATCCCTAATGACAAATTGAGTTTCTTTTACGTAACTGATTTATGAGGCCTACAAAATCAAGTTGATGATCGTGTATTTTGCCATATAATATTTTTACCTCTTCTCGTATCTGAATAGAGCTGTAGTGGCACTAATGATACACTAAAATGTTTTCGTCCGACTGGTATTCACTATCACGATTTATTGTTTGTAGCAGCTCTGATCCGCTGCGCCATCATACACCTACTTCGAAATTAGCACCCATTGTATTTTATCTGTCTCTGCTTTCAAGAACATCACACCTCACTTCGCACAATCTAGGGACGGTGTGGTCAAATAGCGCTTGCAATTTAATTTCTACATACAGCTCTGTGACGTCTACACTTTCCTTTAGGGAATAAGATTTTACTTTGGCCTCTTTCACAACATGATAGCGTGGGTAGAGTTCAGTCATATTCAAGAAAATTAATGCAAGAGCCTGGTCTCCATTCATACACCTAGGCTTCCTAGAAACCTCGTCTCATGCTTTTAACAATATTGTAGCACGTTGAGGTGAAGCAAGGGAGGGCTCTGTTAGAATTTTTGCTGCATTTCTTTTACCAGTCTCTTAAGACTTTTTTTGAGTAGCTGCAACTAATTCAGAGGACGTTGCTGTATCGATGATAGCCTTTACCTGTCTTCGCTTTGTAGCATCAATGAATAACTTTCTTGGTCGTCCTACTTTTGTTATAGAAGATTAATTTGGAGTACTGGTTGATAGACCCACACAACGAAATTTCTCTTCGAATTCGATTTCTTTTGAAAGCCACAATTCGTTCCGTGTCAAAATATTATATTCACACCTTGCCTATGTTTGCCATCGCTCACTAATTTTTTAACACAGCTTAGAAATTTTAAGTGATTTGCTGATGTCTTCTGAACAATCTTCTAAGCCTAGTTACATGCTCTGACACCTCGTTCTTTTGTACAGTATTTAAGCGACACACCTCGAAAAGCGCGGGTCGCGTAATGAGCGGCATCGTCACTGAAAACAATATATTACGATTGAAGGAGCAGCTGGAATATTAAAATCATGAAGAATAGTCTGGATAATACATCCATGTTGATTTTACGGCGGGAAGGCTTGGGGATAACTTTATAGCTCAAGATAAAGAAATTAAAAAATTAAAAATTCAGAAATTTTAAGACTCCATTATGAGAGTCATTTTAATATTAATTTTTTATTTAAATATCTGAATATTAATATAAAACTAAAGTACAAACTTTGCTGAATCCGATTCAGTCAGATTTATCAGTATAACTGCAAAGTAAAGGCGTCAATGCGTGCTTCTTCTACACTCTGCACACAGCAACTGCACCGGGCTTAAGACGTCCTGCCTGAAAGAGTAACTTGACCGCTCTGTTTAGGCTGTATTTCTTCCGCCAGCGATAAACAAACTGTGCACCCATGTGCTCTCATTATCTAAGAAGGAATTAGTTTCATCGGCTTCCTTTAAATGCTGAGTTGGGAAAAGGGTATTTTGAGCGGCTTGGTTCGTCAAATCTCACACTGTGCGGTGGTAGCCCGAGAAAATTACGAGAACAAAAAATCTGTCAAGATAAATTATATTAAAAATAATTACCGGCCACATTATTTTTCAGTGACACAATTTTCGAAATTGTGTATTATCTATTTTGTTGAGATCTGTATTAAATCGATCGCCCGTCGATTCGCTTCGAAGAAACCGCTGGCTCCTAGCGCCATCCACACAGCGTGCGTTCGTTGCATTAGTCATTCCTGGTAATATATTGTCCAGCCAAGGGTTCAGGTTGCCGATTTCCCGAGAGGTTTCTTGACACGCTCAGAGCAGTTCGGAGGCAGCGGACAGAGTAAATTAATGTTCGCTTTTTGCCAGACATACACGTTTGGTGATGAGCATACGAATTCATAATAGATTATATTAAGCGTTATTTAAGTGTTAAAATTGATTTTAGGGCATTTTAAGAGCATTAGATGATTTTTGGAGATGTTGTTGGTCATCAAAATTCGCCCCTGACTAATGTTAGCAGATATGGATTAAAAGCACTGAAGAATCAGGTTGTACGTAAAAACAGCGCACCGTTTCTCACAAGGTAATGTTATGGCACGTTCTTCGGCCGAGATCAGCTGAGAATATACGAACGATTTGATAACTAGCAGTGCTTACCGCCATGCAAAAGAATATGAAAGTGCGCTTTAGTTACCGAGCGCTGACATTCAATCCAAAGCGCGAATATTAGCGGTTCTTTATCGATTTTTTCGATATTTTTGTACGAGTGCGGTAAAAATATCTACTGGTTGTCTTATAATAAATATTACAAACTTCTAGGGCAAGGAGGGGAGTTGAAAGCGACCACATTTTGCTAATGAACATATGAAGTATGATACAGCGAAGTTAAATATGTGACATTTCCTCCGGGTTTTTAGACGTCTTATGCACGGATGTTCAGCCGGTCACGTTCTGATTCAGGCAAGGAGATTTAATGTACTTACCGAACAGCCGGGCATCCGAATTGCTTACCAATTAAGGGCAAGTGTCAGATGTATAAATGTATATAACTCTGTGTCCTACTATACGTTCAAAAGCAAAAAGTTATATTTTCGACCCCTCTACTTGCCTGAGAAGTTTGCGACATTTATTCAGTTGCCATTCATATTTTCACTAATATCCAATTCTTCTACAAATAAATTAAAATACATAATTTAATCATTTTATTAATTTTGTTGAGTCATCGCCCAATACTGACCAAACTCTTCACATCTGAATGAATATATAACCATTAAATAAATTATTCCAGTCACACTTCAAAATTGTATTAATATTGTATTGCTAAGTGAAAATTGGTACATAAACAAATATTGTTATAGTCCTGAAGAAAGCTAAATAAAAGTTGAATCATTCCTTTAGTTATAATTGATTTTAATGACCTTCTCTCAAGATATCTCATTGCATTAGAACTGCATATACCAATGTAACTGTTTAAATCTGTCTGAACAAACTACATTTTGTATTTATTCTTGTTACTTATAAATAACTTTTTCCCTTTAATCTTCTAGGGATTCAGTTGACCAATACGGCTTGTATATAGCAGAAGATGATGGAGAAGTTGATTGGGACTTTCCATGCTTGGATCCACGTGAGGTCATTAGCAAATTTGGTTTTTCATATTTGGCTCTGGTGGAACGCAAAGAAAAAGTCCCCAGTGAAGATTCTGCCACACGAGAGAGGTTGGTCTCATATTTAGGTTTAAATACACAAAGTTAGCAATGTTTTGGAAAAAGAGTCCTATGACCACCTTAAGAGATTTCAGATGAAAGTAATTTAGCAAAAACACTTATATGTCCCAAGTAATCTTTGAGTATACTGGGAACCATCATGTGTGTATTATAGTTTCAGAACTGTAAAATAAACAATCTTTGGAATTAAGATATTCTAGTTCAGTATAACATTAATGTTAACTCCAGCAAAATTGTTCTTACTTTAAAATTAGCTTCCTTTTTTCGAGGTTAAAATTTGAATGGGAAAATATCTGGCTGGAGCATTTCGTCAAGGAAGGTACTGTGATGCCAGAGGTTAGCAAATAGGAGACAGAACCATGTATATTAGTGGTGATAATTTAAATCCTGTTACAAAACAAATGTTTTCATTTCTTTATTTAATTCAAAAGATTTTTAAATTGTGTTGTATAAAATATTCCGAAATTGGATATTTTTATATTAACATCTCGTTAATTAAAAAATGCTTTCTAGCAATTGATTTGCAACACTTATTTTATGTTTGATATAATACACGATAACACAAATTCAAAATGTGAGTTTGCCATATCAACATTATGCAAATGAGTATCAACATTATGCAAATATTATGGGGAGTACCATTGCGATAGAATTGGAGGACCGTTTAATTCGGGTTAGATATCATAGCACTCGTTCGAAAATAATGCACTCACTCAGCATATTATTTCTAAAGATTATTATAAATATTCTCAATAAGATAATACAAAAACTTTTGCACACCACAAAAACACAAGCTGTTTTTGTCTGGCATGACACAGATTTTTATTTCGTATAAACCAAAACTTGGTACAGCATTGCAGTAATCTATCTTTTAATTTTGCGTAAAATTTATTGGTTACTTACATGAAAAGAAAAATATCGTTATTCTAAATCTGACAATAGCTCTGTCTGTCACTTGTAAGTTCCATATTCTTTCTTCTGGTTTGAACAAGTTTAAAATAAGTGTAACAATTGTTTCACCACATTCTATAGGATTTTCTTGCCTATCTTTTACAATTTCAGACGCGACGGCGATGACGATTGTTCAGTCATGTGACAATTTACACTTTGACTGCTGAGTGAAAAATGCACTACACAGAATACACTAGATTGACTCATGTGCACAGTAACATACCTACATTTTTTAAAAAAATAATCTTGACTCTGTAATGCGAGTTTCTTTTACGATTGTTCATCTGCGCTTTTACGCACATGGAATCGTTTCACAAAACCATAAGCACATGTGTTATGCAGTCCGCCATTACATCGAAACTACTTCCCTTGCTTTGTGTCATTAGATATGTCTCGTTTGTAGTAACACGTATTTTATGTAAACTTACAGTAGTAGACAAAATACTTAGAATATATCTTCGTGACGGTCAGTTATTTGATTAAACGTATCCACTGTTTCTAAGACATCATTAATTCTTTCTAATTAGCACGACGTTTCATAGTTTGAATTTCTATTGTATTTTACAAACATACACTTGAATTTTACAGAACTGTTTTACTAAGCGTATACTTAAAGGCCGGAGAAGAATGTGTATCGCGGACTTACAGCCAATCAGCCACTGCATACCCACGTGGCACTGTTCCACTTGGCACGTGGCACCAAGTCCACTTTATTCTACAAGTTAAATTTAAAACAATTTTCCAATTTTATCACTGTACTACACTATGCCACTAGCAACTCCCCTTTCTCTATCAATGTGAATACATAATGTGACGTGTTAGTGGTTTTCACTCGTAATTCGAATTGTAAACGAAAATGTAAGGTTACGGTTATCAGCTTTTAAATGTTATTACCATAGTGCTAATCCAAGTGTATGATACATTATCGTTCAGAATATATTATTACTTTTCCATAACTGTATTTTACACATCCGTTCGCACTTTAAGACAGTAAAAGTCTTTACCGACAGAGTGCAAAAAAAACTAAAAAACGGCCGTTCTTTTCCAAAAATGAAGTTATACCCATATGCATACTCTATACATAATAACCACTAATAAAAGCTGTTACTGTTAGAGCATGCACAGCGTGCTGAAACTTGAAATTTTAGAACTAATGCTAAAAATGACACGATGCTCAAATGTTCAGATACAACTGTGAACACTAGTGTGTACTAACAATCTTAACGTAACATAGTACCTAATTAAGTGATGTATATTTGGTTTATAAAATACGAGGGATTTTCGGAGAGTAGCGTTACAACTCCCAAAGCTTTTGCTGGGAAATGTATTTTTCACAGTTGGTACGACGGTTTAATAGAGAAAAACTAGCAGCACTCAAAGTTCACATTTGCGCTTTGGGTGCATTTAACATAAAATGGAGTTGAATTGTACAACCTTGTTTCAGAAATGAGAGACTGATGGAAGCTGGTGGTGTGTCTGAACCCCGAAGAATGAAAGGTAAGACCATTTCCGAGGTGTATTTTTTTTTCGCGTGCAGTGGAATTTCATCTCCAGTAACCATTAACCAATACTAACGAAAATATTTTCTTATTTTTTAAATTCATTTTTAAAAAAATGCGTCACTTTATATGTAAGATATCAGCACACCTTCAAGTCTCGGAACTGCGCTCAAAGAATTGCTCGTGGCCCCGGTGGCAACACGAGAACTGGCGACTGCGCTGAGCAGTAGCCGCAAGTCCACGTCATGGGCAGGCCTGCTGCTCCATACTTCGATTTATTTACGACACCTCAAGGTCAAGTACGAAAAAGGGAGAGAAGGCAGTCGCCACTAGGGAGCTTCAACTTCACTATAGTGTTGGAACGTTCGCGAACGTCCTTTTGTACGATGCTGGTGGCCCCAGCCATGTGGTTGCCACATGCTAGCTGCGGTGTGTGAGCAACACAGCGTAACTTGACCTTGAGGTGCAGTAAATAAATCGAAATAGAGGATGTGAAGCTTTCCAACATCCGTGAGGATTAAGTCTCCATGCAGATGTTCAACGAATATATTCAAATTATCGCAATAATTGAAATTTACTTCAGTGTGTTCGTAGTTCTCATTTAACAAGTACACTAGAATGCCAATGAACCTGGGAACTGTCTTTGAACCATTCTGAAGCCAGAAAAAAGCCCCCACATACATCAACTGTCGTGGACAAACAACGGAGTGGCAATTCTTTGGTTTGTAGATCTTTCTAGAGATTCTTTGGTTTGTGGCATCTTCGTATAGGTATTGACGGTGCAGTTTGGATGATTCCAACTTGAAATCATTTATTTGAATTGCAAATTATGAGAACACAGGATTTTGACACCATACGATTACTGCGAAGGAACGCAAGTTAATAGAATATATGAAAACTTGGAAAGTTACAGATATTATTTTTATTGCAGCTGTCCTCAAAGATGAAGATATGCAGCGCATGAAGGGGCATATGACTGCTATGGAAGCACCATTGTACCAGTCGTATAGAGTATGCACTGTTAGTAAAGTACGATCGAGAACAGAAATCCAGTTAGGTGAGTATCTTTAGTTATTTTTATTTCTATAGAATCCAATACCTTGTTATGCTGTTTTTAGTTTAACCAAAAATATGTAATTTAATATCTTCAGAAAAGTCACCCAATGATTGATAAGTAGAATATTCTTTTCGAGCTGTTGCTAGAATTATGAACTTGCGTGTCCTTCTACCTTACATGTCTGATAGTCCTTGCACCGACAGGGGTGACTCCCAGTCCTGGACTGAGAGTTTCAGGACTTCGAGTCCCCATGATGGCGAATTTTCTACGTGATTAGCTATAGCTTGGTGGCGCTGCACAGTGAACAATTTTGGTATCTTCTTTTCAATTGAATTTACTATACCCTTCCAATTATTTCCTATCCTTACTTTGGAATCTAGTAGGATTCCGATTAATTCCATACCACGGTCAGTGAAGTCATTTCGAAAATAGTAACTGAATAATAGGACTTCTTTAAGCTGGAAGTGATCTTCCTTTTGGATACTGTGTATTCTTGCCTAATGTTTTTCTTGAGTGGAAAGTCCGCCGGCAATTCGCCAATTCTGACACCTCGGGATTATGAGGTGTAAGTGGCATCTGTTGGAGACCATGCAGTTCTGGCATTCGGGCTCCCTACAAAGTATTTGTACTGATCATTGCTTTTTAAATGCAAACATGCCGATACAATAAATTAGTGAGCTCTCTCCACAAAACGCATCCGGAAATTAAAAACAATAAAAAAACGTAGTCCAAGATGCCCCGTCGATGTGGGTCGGTCCACGTCCTGACGGGGGATGCATGGAGGGCTCTCAAGTATTCCTATCTTTCACCAGTCATCTTTCTTCCCCCACCGTTTATTTTCGTTCGTTGATAACATCCTCTCTCTCGTATACCCCTTCTATTTCTCTGCCCCCCTCCCCGTACGCTGAACGCCTACCCAAGTGTTTGCTGTGCATGCGACCCGTCTCGGAGGGTGTGGCCTAGCAGTTGAGGGATGTCTGTTTCCCAACTACTCCTTGTGCTACTTTCTACTTTGCACTTAGGGTTACGTTATTTGCGTATTTTTAGGAACCTTCTTTGTTGGTTTCCAACACGCTTTGGCCTCTGATTTTTTGGACGGGCAGTCGGGAGCTAACCCCCATTCCCGATCAGTCAGCTCGGACTAGGTCTGTGACTCCAGAGTGAGTGTGGGGGGTGTCATGGTGTCCCCCTGCGAGTATGCGGCGGGAAATAAACCATGGCACTCCCTGCTGTATCCTCCTGTCAACCCTGGAACTCCAGCGGAGTGTTCCCTTGTTGGTATCCATGGTGGGTGGGTTCCTTGTAATGGCATGCAGCGAAGGAGGGAAAACAATGAAAAGTGTTCCCTCAATAACACATGCAATGGCTGCAGAGAAATTAGGGATGTTCCAGGCATTCGTTCGCCAATGCACCATCCTTTTCTAATGTCGGTGACGAACAGATTGACAGAGTTTTAAAAGTGAAGGAAATTGCCGGCCTCCTGGTTCAAGTGACGTCCTACCCTACATTAAATCTATCTATGGGTGTAGTTAATCATGACGATTTTGCTACTGAAACCGAAGAAGGCCTGAAATCCTTTTCCTTGCCTGAAGGAGTTACCGACATGCACAGGATTTACCGGAAGATGAACGGTGTACTCACCCCCACTTCATCGTTGATCCTCACATTCGATCCTCCACCTCTTCCGGAGAGGATCTCCTCATGCGGATGGTATAATCTGCGTGTGCGGCGGTATGTGCCGAACCCCTTGCTCTGCTTCAAGTGTCAGAGGTTCGGCTATATCCAGCAATGCAGCGACGTCTGTGTGTGTATGCAGGCATCGCTGTCTTGTGGTCTGCTCCAAAGAGTGCCGCAATTCTGAATGCAAATCCTGCACCAAATGTGTAAACTGCACATCAGACCACCCATCAAACTCAAATATTATTATTACTACAAACAATGAAATACAATAAACATCTAAAAAATTAAATTATAAATTTTACAATTGACAATATTAATTCCAATTCTCTCTCTCTCTTTCTCTCTCTCCTCTCTCTCTCTCTTTCTCTCTCTCCTCTCTCTCCTCTCTCCTCTCTCTTTCTCTCTCTCTCTTTCTCTCTCTCTTTCTCCTTACTCCTAAAGTGGTATGGCGAAAGGTCTGCCAAATTGGGAAGTCTTCCGCCTCCGAACGTTCCAGGGTTGCTGGTGAACGCAAATGTGATCACATCCCCTGAAGGTACTCCAGAGAAACTGGCTTCTCACTAAGACATCCCCAATTCTTCACATTCTGCAGGGTTTCTTAATTGTAAGGAAATGGGGTAACTACACTGGACATTTCACGTGGCAGAAAAGAAGAATATAACTCTCCCCTTTCCATAGAAGAATTATTGTGCGCACTTGCTCTTCTGAAAGACTGTTTCAGGAACGCACCCAATCCACATCCAAATGTTAAAACACGTACCCGGGAAGGTGCGATCGTTCCTCCTTAAGCTCTTCAACCGCATTTGGAACGAACACATCATTCCTGACACCTGGAGTGAGGCTATTGTAATCCTTAATCCTAAGGAAGGAAAGAATCGAATGATTCCCTCTAGTTATCGACCGATATCTCTTACCAACATTTGGAGGTCAAAGGTTAGGGTTGGTTAGGATAGGGGGATAGGGGGACTTTGAATATTATTACGGCTGTATTTGTCAGATAGATCATCGTACTTATGAGTTACGTGGTGTTTCAGTAGATAGTGTATTAGTTTCTATGTCATTTTTAGTTCTCGTTTGTCGTCGTCTAGTCTATGTGTAGTATCGTCGTTGAACGCGTCGTTTATGTCGTATAATCGTGAGAATTTCATCTGGAAGGGTGGGGTGAACATTTCTGGAGTATGATGTGTTTTTCCGGTATGTTTGGGTTATGTGACGGCCTTTGAGGATTTCGAGGAGGGGTTTTAGGTTAAGGATTATCTTTTTGTCTGGGATTTTCGAGGAGGGCGAGGTCTTTAATGTCTTGGGTTGATGTTGGGTTGTGGGTTGTTGGATTTGAGTTGGGTTGACGGCAGAGGCGTAGGATTGGTTTTGGGATCTTAGGTGTGGAAAGTTTTGGAGTGGGTTGGTTGGGTATGGGTGGTTTAAGGATTTGCTGATCTATACTTGTGGTTCTCTGGCGTCTGTGATGAGGCATTGTGAGTGGTGCTCTGGATGGTTCAGGGAGCAGTTGATGCATTTGGAGTGGATGGTGTGTCAGAAGTATGGGAGGGACAGTCTTCAGTCGGGTGAGCATCAGCGCAGAGGGCGCAAGTCGCTTGTCTCCTGTAATTGGCCTTCGTGTGGTAAGTCCTGCACTGGGGTATTCTGTCTGTCATCTTGTAGTCTTAAATGGTCACTCTAAAGTGGTCAGTGGATATTGGTTCTGATGTTTTTCTTTTTTGTTTGTCCCGACTGTAAACAGGCGTATTGGTGCCAATGTCCCGTCGGCGTCGCGTCGTAGCATTTCAGTGATGTGGTGTGTAGTAATATTGAGGGCGGTCAAGTTGTCTTTGATGGCAGTCAAGTCGTATTTGGCAGGAAGTCCTTTTATTACAAATTTGTCTCTTTGCTCGTCGGTGGCTCGGTTGAAATGGTTCGAAATAGCAGTGAAAAATAGTTAATTTAGTCTTGGTCTAGGGTCTGTACTGATCTGGTCCAGGCGGTCCCTTATCTTTCCATGGGGAATCAGTCATTGGTTGTATTACCAATTCCGTGCGGGTGCACGTGGCTGTCAGGTGGTTGTTACAATTTGCCTTCAATTCCTTGATCAGTTCTGTTGGGTCGAGGATGGTAGTCAGGTCGACTCTTAATTGTTCAATTCGTCCTTTGTTGGTTGGTTTCGGGATCGTCTTTTATTGGAAGGATGATGGGTCAGCTGAGGGTTCGTTGCTTGTTTCCAGATATTCAGAGTTTCCAGAGTCTGATAGCTGGGGGTCCGGTTGAGAAAGAGGGTTTGAAGGGATTATGGGATTCAACTGGTTTAGGTTGGTGTGGAGGTTAGGGTTTTGCTCCTTTTGTTACCAATCGGAAGCCGTCATTCGTCAGGAAAATGGTGGTGGTTTGGTCGGGGGCGGAGTCATGAGAGCATCGGAGATGGCGTTGCGCATCTGCGTTTGTTTGGGATACCTCATGGCTTGCGTTTGAGGTCCCAGTTGGTGGTGCATCAACCATCTCTTCAGTGGACATATCCTAAGCCGAGGGCAACAGCGGCTGCGGCCGCGCCTCCTGCAGGAGAGGTCGGTTCTGCTCCCGGAAGCGGCGATTGCTCTCTGCTAGAGCACTTTGAAAGGGGGCTCTTCGGGGTGTTCTCGAGGGAGGAGTGCCTCCCCTCGATGGTTTAAGATGCTCCAGAGAATTGACACGTTATCTGAAACAGATTGCGGCGTTAAATAGCCTTTAACGGTCACCCGATGAAGGTGGGGCCGCATTGGCCGAAAGCATCCATCAGGGCGTGTGCCGCTTGCGTGACTGGCGGAAAACGCTCCAATTCGGTGCTGATATGCCGCTCAGTTAAGACCAAGTCCTTACTCCTTGCCATCTTTGCTGTCATGATTTGCCCTGTCACTTATGAAACCAAAATATTGACATTTCAATATTTCTTGGTTACTTAAAATGTCTCCCTTTATTCTGCATTATTGGGGTTAACAAATTTAATAGGAATAGTTTTTAGAGGAGCATCTGCTGGTTTTAAAATTTCTGTGTGACGTTCATATGAAAATACCTATTTTACTTCTGTTTCAGGAATATCTGGTGAGAAGATAGAAATTGATCCTGTTGTACAACAGAGAGTTGGCGCGAAATTCTGGAATCGGCAGAAAGCAGTCAGCTATGACATTGATAATATAGCCGCTTGCGAAATTATAGATAACAAAACTAATAATCGAGGCACATTACGTTTGACATACTACTCTCCTTCACTGACTAACGCTGATCAAGATAGCTCATTACATAATCATGCTTCAATATCTCATTACAAACATTATGATTTCGAAACTGATTTAAGTACAGCGGAAGAAATTGTGCAGAAAATTAATAATATCTTAGATTTGACTACTCCAATAAAACGGCAAGAATATCTAGATTTACGTGAAAGTAAACCACATAAAAAGCGAATGTTTCGTTTGGGTCAAAAACAGTAGTTAGATAGAAGTTGTATGTTCTTTTCACAAATCATGTGAACTATGTTTCAAAGAGTCTGATTTTCCTGACATTGTAAGTTTTTAAATGATCTACTTAAAAATTTGATGTCATGTGAAACAGTATCATCAGTAGTGCAGAATGTGGGAATACTGAATATAAAATATTAATGTCTAAAATAAGTCCACTTCAATGTACCCCAGTGAAAAGAAAAGGAACAATTTTTATCATGTTAGTATCTTGAATATTTTCACTTAAAAACAGATGTAAAACAGCTGAAGAATACGAGATGTTATGATAATTAATGTATAATGAAAATTGACTACTGAAAACAACACTTTAATTTTAAGGGAATGTAATCTAAGTGAACATATTTTTTTCATGAATGACTGACTTTTAATCATGTTTATAATTATATTATTTCTTTCTGAATTTGTATAAGAGGGATTGTGAATAAAGATGATCAGTATTTTATTTTATTTTTTTGGATTACTTGCCATATTTATTTTGTAAAAGTTTGATATTGTGAAACACATGAACAACAAGAACAGAGGACCAGGAAAATATGTGAGAGGTTAAAATACTATCCAATCATTCATTACTTTATATTCACTAGTATTGTAACATAGCACAAGGCATTTACTGGAATGGTTCTTAGTTTTGCACTCACAGTTGTAAAAGTAGAGATTGCTCCTCCCTCTTAAATTTTTCTACTCTGTATATTCCTTCAAGAAGTTGGATGAAATCTGGTCCCGCATATTCCAGCAATGGATATTATTATCTTCATCATAATCATCATCATCATTATCATATGGGCCACTAGTGACCACGCAACACATTTCTCTCTCAGAGGCCCAGTGGTATTCTATCCTGGAGAGATCAACATGTGGAATTATGGGTACTAGTCTTTCGGCTCCGTTCCTTTGTTAAGACCCCCAGGTTGTTAGCCTTCAATATCAATTAGGGGGATAGGATGATATTATTACTGGGTGATGATGAGGGGTGGGGAGATGTTCATGGAGGGAGCTTTTGGAAACGTCCAAGCATTCGCCTTTTTGATCAAGGGACCACGGGTCAAGATGGTCGACCCGGGGATCGAACCCGGTCCTCTCAATTGCGAAGACTGCGCGCTACGCAGTGAACCACTTCGTTCAGTTAATATTATTATTATTATTAATTATTGACTATCATTATTATTATCAGAATTTTTTCCTTAATTAAGGACAACCAAGGCTAAATTGTCTGGTCGACTTTGATTTTGTTAAATAACTGATTCTGCCGTAATGTGCTACGCTAAATACAACCGCTTAAATTGTCCACCAGGCTCAGTTTTTTGAGTTATGGACATCCACTAAAATGAGGTACACTGAGCTGACAAAAGTCATGCGATACCTCCAAATGTAGTGTTGGCCTCCTTTTCTCTGGCGATGTGCAGCAACTCGTGATACGAACTCTAATTCAGCCGCAATCATGCAACATCTGGCTGAAGGACCGAGAAAGACGTGGAATGCAGTGACACAATGCCACCGTGAAGACGGGCCTTGAGGCTCACACTTTAAAACAATCTTACTATAAATGCATTAGGCAGATTCCCCATGCCCTCTTCATTTTCTGGAAACTATTTCATTGTATGGAGCAGATTGGTAAGCGCCGCACCCGAAGTCCACCGTCCAGGGTGGCCCTGAACAGAGCTTGCAGGCGTGTTTGCAAACTGTGGTAAGAGCCGCCTGCCGGGTATGGTGTTTCTTGAGACCACGGTGTTTTACTTGTGAATTTATTTGAACTGTGCATATTATTTTTGAGTATGCTGGCTTTCGTGCTACATAAATGTAAAATTTTGTGCTATGGCAGAAAATGGATGTATTATTGAACATAGGTTTTAAAAACGTTCAGTTGTACTTTTGTGGAAAAAACTTATTAATTCGCGTTGGGAAGCCTGTTTCGGAACTGCTTGACTTAAGATATTTAAATAAAAGGGAAGGGAGTATTTTCGCTTCTTTAATACTAAAAATACAAAAACACCAGTTGGTTAATAGGAAACAAGAAAACTTAATTTATTTTGCTGGACCATGTTTATTGTTTTCTCGGTCGTAATTGAGGTACGAAGAAACGCAATTTGTGCGATCTCTCAAGTGCAATCACCAAACATGATTAATCACAAAGTCACAATTGCGTTCTTATTTATCTGTGATCTTGGAAGTGACCACATCGAAACTGGACTTGATCTATCGAATGTAATGCGAGGTAATGACAAAGAAAAAATAGACACATCTCAAAATGCCTAATTTGATGCGACGCGTTTTGAGCAATGTAGGAATTGCATTTCAAGGGTATCGTGGAAAAGGAAATTTGAAGAAATAATGGAAGCCATCCATTCCATTATTTCTTCATGTAATTACGGCAATGCCACATGAGAACTTCCAAAACGAAGAGTTGGTTAGTAAAGAGTAAACCGATCCAAATTCTGGATTTGAGTATGTATAATAGACATCCAGAATGACATCACAACGTTTGGCGGGAAAGTGTTGGGTGGCAACCTCTGCTGTGAGCGTAAACGAGTTATAGAGAATTACTAAGTTTTGCCGAAGTGTGGGTGTCGTCACATTTGTTATTTACATTTATATTTGCTTTCTTTCGGTTTATTAAGTTCTGGCTGCGAATTTCGTAAACAAATTGCATTTTTTTAAACCTTAGTTTGCGAACACACGCCAAGTCAATATATTTTCTTTTTGAAAAAGGTTCGAAGTAAATATTTGCGTGACCTTAGCGACGACGCTAAGGTACTTTTTTAATAAAATTAAATGTATGAATAATTTTGGTTCTACGTACCCTTTCATCGGTTATGAAAAGTGCCGACGAATTTCGAGCCTAGAAGCTACTTTTATGAACGTCGGCTTTTTTAATATTTATTTCTAGAAATGTGTATCGAAAGAAATATTACATACATTAAACATTAATAATCGTTTGAAAAAAATAATGTTCTTAAACACAGTCCATACAATTTACGTAATTTTTCACGGAGTGGAGGAACTTTCCGCGCAGTTCACTAGAATTTGATATGATTTTATTAATTATAGTAAATACTATATGACTTTAAAAATATAAATAAATATTGCACTTTTTATCTTTTTTTTACAAAACGGCGGCGGTGGCTTTCTGTCGATTGGTGTAGCGTGCTGAGCTCTCTTTGTGGAGTTCTGTGAACGCGCGAAAAGTGCAGTGCACGTTCACGCCACCGCGGTGCGACCATTCCTACCCTTATGGGCATCTTTGGCCAATCCTGAAGCGGAAAGAAAAACAGGGTCAAAAATGGCAACCCAACTGGCGCGCACATTGCGTGTGCAGAAATACCAAGTTTATCTTTCAATACTCATTTCAATGTTTCAGATTACTCTTCCTCCAAGAAGTGCTTCGGTCGCCTATACTTCACTCGTTGATCGGGTTGGCATGAGGCGATCTCGGAAATGAGAGCGTTTTCTGAGTCAGCTGCTTTTTCAAAACAAAAAAAAAGGGCACAGTTTTTTATACGATCAATCAGCAGTGACATTGATAAGTTGCGATGTAACTCCTTTATAGGAGTGTACCTAGGGCACAGAGGGCGGCCCTGAGGCATTTGTTCTGAACTACTTGCAGTTGTTTTGAAATGTCTATTTGCTGCAATTGGCCAAATGGGGCAGGAACTCTGTAGCGTAGTCCATTTGCAGCTTAATAAGTGCTTTATAAAGCTTGAGGCAGTTAACCGTTGACAACTGTGAAATGTAAACTGTGAAACAAGCTTCGTAATCTGCCTCTGGCCCCCCGTGCGGCATTCCACTCGGCCGTAGCTCTTAGTCTATTGAAGGGGGCGGCTGTGGGGACTCGCGCTAGCTTGCGATTGGTCAAGGGTTCGAGAGCAAGTTTCTGGTTGGTAACAGTTGCGCTGTGATTGGTCGCTGAGGGATGGACAGCTCACTGCTTATGTTGTTTGGACTTCGTGTTGCGGAGAACATGATACCAGATGGAATTGATGTTAACCACTTTTATGTTAAACTTGTTTGGTTGTTTAAAAATCTCAATAGCTTCCCGTTGTAACCTGGTATGATAGAGGTAGTGTCCCGTTTCATTATCTTTATCATTTCCTTTTTTTCCCGTTCTGGATGTCGTGTTCCTATCCCGAGAGAGCATTTTCAGCCATCGCAGATTTTTCCGTGTAACCTAAACGGTAGTTTCTTTTGTGTTTGGTGAGGCGATTTGTATTATAATAAAACAAAATTAAAAGGTTATAATCATATTGGACAACACAAACAGCATTAAATTATTAAAAGAAGTGCTTGTATGAAAAATGTAACAAAATAAATAAAGATAACACAAAATAAAAGTAAATATCAGGTCTCGTAAAACAAGTTATATATTTTGATAAATACCAACAATCCAATTAACACCAATAAACACCAACAATCCAATTAATAAAGTTATATATTGTAAAAACAAAAAAAAATCGATAGGCATATTCTAGGGAAAAACTATACTTCTTTCAGTTAATTATTTATATTTCGCCCATTCATCAGAGCCCGTCATATGGATAATCTGAGCCTATCATGTGGGCCATTGTAATGCCTAGCGTCCAGGATACGCTGGAACCCCAACCAAAGCTCAGCTGATCATTAAGTGAATTACATTTCTCGACTTCAGGGAACTGCAAATAAATATTTTTTAAAATAGAATCCCTGAGTAGTAGAAACTGTACAAAATAACGCCGTGGGAAGAAACAGTTTCAAACATGGTGATTAGCGTAGCAAAACGCGAGCACGTCTATATAACGGCATACACACACACAAACACACACACACATATATATATATATATATATATATATATATATATATGTGTGTGTGTGTGTGTGTGTGTGTGTCCCATTTATCTTGACAACTTGAAATAACAAAAAATACGCGATGTACGAAAAATTCAGCCGAGACCAAATCTTTAACAGTTTTGAAGGGGAAATCATTCTATGCTAAAATCAGCACCTCCCCATGCCCCCAGCGGTTGGGGAGGTGGACGACATTTAAATCTTAAATAGGAACCCCCATTTTTTATTTCAGATTCTACGGACAAAAATACATAAGTTTTGTCTGAAGCTTTTTTTTCTGATTTGTGATAGATGGAGCTGTAATCGCAAAAATTTAATTTCCCAAGATTTCCGACTGTAATTGGAGTGATTTTGAGTGTGGCCTCAGGGCACACCCGTCAATTTGTTGGTAGCATCTCTCCATGGCCCGTGCCTACAGTACTTCAGAGGTGATCCGACATTTATTAAACATTTACCTTTCTGAACTACCATTCCTCCTTGTTGTATCATGGATTATGTAAATGTGCAAGAAAAAATTGAAATGATTTTCATTAACGGCGAAGCTGGGAGAAATTTCGACGCTGCTGTTAGTTTGTATGCTCAACGTTTTCCTGACAGAGTAGGATCGAGTTCTTTCGTTAGAATTGTTCA